TTTATATTTATTTAGAAGCTTTGAAATAGTACAGTAAACACTTTGCAACACGGTGTATAAACTACAGAATGTCTTTGATAATTTTGTGGGTCTTCAGATTAACAACATTTTATGACCCACGGGTGAAAAGAACATGATCACAATCTCTCTTGTAAAGTTGGAATAGTTTGGGGAACACTTGATCACACAAAAATAATATAAAACAGTCAAGTTTAAAACAGTGATATTGCATTTATAATGCACATTTCTTTTATCTGTACGATTGGCTTCTTGTGGTGAATATAAACATCTAAAGGGCTCAGTGACATTTTGGAGAGAGAAAGATATATAGTGCTGTAAACAGGCACACACTGATCAGAGAGGCAAGATCAGTTGCCTCTGAAGTTTCTACAGTTCTACACATTTCAACTCATTTCTCAGGCCTGCTGAGAGCAATTAGGTCCTATTGTTGGCCATGATGTCTCCAACAGCACACAAATCCTTCAGTTACACAGAACTGGATGGCCAAGATAATGAAGTTGAAAGTTGATGCTTTTTGTTGGTCGACTTTTGTGCAAATCATGCTGCTTCAGGTAAGTCCTGTAGAAGTGACTAGCATATCCTTTTCCGTGCTGCAGGAAAGAAAGAAAGACACTTCTGAGAGAAAAAAAAAATTAAAAATCAGTCTCCAACAGTTCCTAGGTTTAGTATTTCTTAGAGGGTAAAGAAACAATCAAAACTTGTCACAAACTGTCGCTTGAAATTCCCATTGTAGCAAACAGTTTAATGTTGATTCACTTTTCAGAGAAAAGTCTTTTTGAGGCTTGATAGTCTGAAAACCAAACTTCATAGGTTGTTTTATTATTCTGTCTAACATGTCATGGCAAGTACTCCAATGTGCCTGTATGAAACTGCTATAAGGACAAAGCAAATAGTCAGACTTACAGGTTCAATATTACTGGAATTTCACAGCCTAATTTTTTCCCTAGTTCAGCTTGTTACTTGAAGCGAAATTTAGAATTCCCCCAAAGATTCAGAAGCTGGTTTTCCTCCTCTTTCAAAGTGAACCGTTATCCTCATCACCAAATGACCCTTTAGTCTGGTTTGACAGACGAAAAAATGGTGCATTAGTGCTACAATTCAAATTTCAGCATTTACTGTCAGGATGGAAATTAACTCATGTTACACGGATGAAGAAGGTCAATGCATTAGCAAAGCCATATCCTAATCCACAAGCTGTGGCAGCTATATTCCTCAAGACACTGGCTATTTTAACTGTAATTGGGAGCAAAGGTAACAAATGATTTGTACTATCATTCAGGAAGACCCCGGGTTAAATTCTGATCTCAGTCACACATGATGATGAGACAAGCAACTAACTCACTTGCTGAAGTATTATTAACATCAGCATCATCATTATTGTTTAATAAAGCTTGTAATGATAAAATCAGGTTTTACCTTAGCTCCAAATCAACTAAATCTCTACCTGAAATTCACTCTATTTCTGTGCATGAAGTGTTACAACTAAACCAGAGGAATCTTAACTTTAGAATGAATCTTTGAATGAAGCCATCCATATATATAGGTTGATGCTTGCATGTTGGCACACAAATACATCCAGTCTCCGTTCCATTTAACATAAATATTGACATGAGCCATACTTATTCCCTATCTATAGTCACTATTAAAGTATGAAATCTATCTACTGTATCACAGGGCAGTTAGATTACTTTCAGGAAAATGTTGCCATGGGTATTGTATGTTCATCTAATCTAGCCTGCCTATGCCACAGGATGAAAAATATTTCTGTATAAGCTATCTGTTCAACATACAGACAACTGCCAGATGTGTTATTAACATTAAAATTAAAACATCTAATATATGCTGGTTTGGATGTTTCAACTCTAGCAAATTAGTAGCAGAATCAGAAAGAGTTTTTAAAAGCTTCCAAAAGATATTTTTTAAACATTGTAGTTAAGATTAATGAGATCAGAATCTTCATTATGTTTTGATGCAGTATACGATCAGATTAATCAAGTTTCTAGATATCTTTTAAAATACATTTTACTATATTACAAGAAACAATTGTTCCAATAATAGCAATAAAAATAACAAGGCTTATATTGAATCTTCAAAACTTTTTTCCCAAAGTTCACTAACAATTTCAATTCTCTTGTAAAAATTTAAGCACAGTCATCTAGATTGGTGTCTGCCATGGAACTCATACTGCACTACAGACACAGTTGGACTTCGATGGGAGGAAGATACAGAGATGCAGCTGGGGCAATTGCTGTTTTCAAGCAGCACTACTGTCCTACTCCTGTCTGACACAGTGTCTTCGTGGTGTTGATGTGGCAGCATCTTTCAGAAAATACAGAGGCTGAGTTACTGGCTGTGTCTGGTCTTTTACCATGCAAATTGGTGCATTTTAAATTTTTTAATCTTCAGTTAATACGCTTATATTACAAAACAATCAGGTCCTTTTATACCAGTAACTAAGTACTATACATTAGGGTGCAGAACACCTGCAACTCTTCCCACCTACAAAACTCCTTGTCCCAAATCCTAGAATATCCTCTGCCAACACATAAAATGCACTGGATTTCAAAGACAACTTTTCGTCCATGTTTGTTTGGGGTTTTTGTCTGGTTTTGAGTGAAATTTATGTGCAGGCAAATCTCTCCATGTCTATACCATTTTCCGTCTTTTTACAGATGGGGAACATAAATCAGAGAGGTTAAATGGAAAGGAGGATGGACTTAGCTTAAAACAGAGGGCAATGAAAGTTCTGACATCTGTTTCTGGCTCTGTGTGTGTGCATGCATGTGTGCTCATAAATAAACTTTTAATAAGAAACACTAAGCCTCTCTGTATCACAATTTCTCCATCTGTAAAATGGGAATAATATTGCTTACCTATCTCCTAGAGGTGCAGGAAGGTTTAAATCACTATTCTTTATAATCCACTTTGAGATCCAGAGATGGCAAGTGCTATAGAAATGGAAGTATCAGAGTCAGTGTAAGAGCTGGAACAAGAACACCATCATTTCTGGTGCCTAATATCTCTTCTGAGATCACAGCTCTCTCTTTCATTCCTATTTTATCTCCTGTTCCAAACTCTCAAACTAGTACACAGGAAAGCTTCAAGTATGTGTGAGTACAGGTGTACTAGTCAGAAAGAGGTTTTAATAATAAGCAGTTTCATAAATCTGCTAATGTAATTATACTATTTGTACATATATTCTAATAGTGTTTGAGGTGAACAAGAGAAATAAAGAATCACAAGTGTTCCAATTAAAATTCTCAGGGTACAGGATTTATACTGCACTGACTATTGATCCTTCCCCAAACACCTTAACAAAGATTTTGAGTGTTACAGTCAGAGTGCTTAATGCATAAAAATTATATGGAATTGCAATAAAACCCAGCAAAAATATATAAAGATTCATTTGCTGCCTAGTACACACTAATAAGCCTCCCATCCACAGTAAGCTAGTTCTGTGTAGGCTGATGAGAATCGACATGTAAAGGCATCAGTGGTAGATGAACAGAAAAAGAAATGAAGAACACTAACATAAGAAACAGGAAAGAGAAAATAAAGTATGCAGTGATTATTCCTAGCTTATGGATTAGAAATGAACAGAAAATATGGCAAAGCCCTAGTCTCTTTAATAAATCTTCCTTTCACCAGGTTGTGAAACATCCTATGGCATACAAACTTGATGTCAGATTACTGCTTTATAGCCATGAGTACAGGCAGATACATTTCCTCTTTTGGCAAAGCCTGGGAGGGATTGCCTGTACTTGGAACACCTTCAAACTCTCTGAATCAAATTTTGTTCCTGCTTAGCAGTGCTAGCTAATCTAATGGGGATGGAGAAAGGGCCCACTGCTTGTCTCCACAGCTGGCAACCCAAGCAGCGAAAGAAAACACATCTATACATTTTATAACTATTGTCACTTTCCATCTGGAGTACATTTAAGAGCTCCATAAACACCCACAGCATTATATCTGCTCTTAAGAGAATGACTGCTGAGTGCCCTCCAAGTGCCAACAGCCTAAAGATTCAAATGAACCCCTAGATAGTAAAATCTCCAAAGAATATCAAATGCCAGGCATGCTGCTGCAGTTACAGAAATACTGCTCATCCCCTTTCACTTAGGAGAGAGAAGACCTTAAAACCTCTCTTTTAAATCAAAAAAAGCTATGCAGCAGGAGAACAGGGGGAAAGCCAGTATGCAAACTGTCATCATGCTGTTTCAGATCCCAATTCTGAAAGTTCACACAATATCCAAGCAGTATTTGCCTTCATATAGGCTTTCACATATGGGCTTCCATGCAAGCATTCCATGCATTATTGACTTTTCTTGGGGTTCCCCTGTACAAACTGTGTGCCTCACCATGCCACCCAGATCAGATGTGACACACAACACTGCACCTGATACAGGGAACACAGGGGGCTGTAACTTCCTGCATTTCACTCACAAATGGCCCAGCTGTTCTAGCTTCACTTGTAGCACACAGTTTTAAAAGGCGTTAATTACCTCATATACATTATGGCAATGTTGGCTTTAAATTTGCATTATTAATTTTAACTGTCTTTATACTTCGATGGTTTGCTTTACAGTCTATATGTTAACTGTAGCAGATGAAATATGACCCTTCACTAAGTCCCATTAGCTTTGATAGAGCCAGAAATGGATTTCTAGTGACAACCAACAGACTGCCAATTCAGCATTCCCACTCTAAATCAGCCCAACTAAACAGTGGCAGAAGGTATTCCATAAGAAATAACCTGGTTGTTTCAGCTAACTTGGAGCTCAAGTTCAGATATCAGCAACTATATTTTTTAGAAAGAGGTCAGCAAGTGAACGGGAATGCAGAGCAAACTACCATAGCTCCCTCACCCTTCGTAGCGGTGCATCCAGGTAAAGGGTGAGACACACGGCTGGGGCTGGGGCTGGGGGATGTAGGATGGGGATTACTCTGCTGCCACCCATGTTCTGTGGATAAAAAAGTATTCCAGTCATTGCAGGTGTCAATTCAGTATCTTTTGCAATCCATAAAGTCTTCACTTTTTCTTTTTGAAATGAGCTATTACTTAAAGAAGATGGTTAAAGCATTGCTAATAATATTATAGGAAAATTCCATTGATGGCATTATAAAAAGAGATTGTCTTATTCAGTCTGATAAACTTTGGTACACAAATATGAAAATAATATTTTTCTCATGTATCTTTTCCTCTCAAACCAGTTTAAGGGGAGCTTTTTCTTCTTTCAAGGCTTCTAAAGCCTTGAAGAGACTTTTCTGCTTCGAATCTATGCAAAGCACACTTGGATAAAATAGCTTTATATTCCAGATGCCCATGCTACATTGTACATAATTAATGTGTGCTTTTAACTCTGTGTTATATCAAATAGTTGGGAAAAAAAGGAAGATG